ATCGACCAAAATAGATGCACAGCCCAATTAAACTTTAAATATACATAGGTAGAGAAGGTTTAGGGTTTCGAATTCCAGTATTCGAGGGGTTGGCAGTGACAAACAGCGGGGACCGTCGGCAAATCCAGGAATAGGTGGCTGTACCCGTGGATCCGAATAGCCCAATGTAGCAATATGTACAGACTTTACAGGGCCCCAATGTAGGTATTATTTATATACATGGACCCCTATATAGCCCCTATAGAGTCCCAGTTTCCATTTCATGTTCCATGTTCTTCTCCAATTCTCCATTATTGGTCCTATTTGTATACTTGGATCCCTAAGCCCCCACCCCTAAACAAGCACTAAACCCTAAACCCCTAGACTGAGTTTTTCTTGGCCGTCCTACCTAGATGTCACCTCTCAGTTCCCATTTTTTGACGCCCAGCTCCTAAGCCAGAGGCTTAACTCGGAGCCGCATTTGCCGGAAACTCCAAATCCTAATGTAGACCCAAATTAGGGGTATCTTTACAGGGGGATATATGTGTTATATAGGGGGTTATATAGGGTTTAGGGATTAGGCTTTAGGGTGTAGGGCTAACCTGTAGACCCCTGATTAATAAACCCCCCCTCCCTAATGGAGATAATAATAGGGATCCTGACATTAAGGCCCTTAAAAGGAGGGGGGTTATTACTCACGGGTCTACACTGGTTGATCCCATGAAACCAAACCCGAACCTCACCTGAGATTAGACTGGGCAATTTAAAGCGACCTCAGCCGACCTCACCCCAAATGGTGGTTTATCTAGGGAGTAGTACGTAAATGACATTAAATTGGAAATTGAAATTATTCTAGATTACCCTGATAGAGCTACATTGAAGGCTAGGTTTAGAACTTGACAAGAGGGGGTTTTGCGGATTAGGAACCTGAGCCTCATCAGCCCAGATCCACGCCCTAAACCCCCTAACCCCTAAACAACCCTAAACCCTAAACCCCCTAAACCTGAAAGCCAGGGAGCTCACGCAGTTGGGCCTGCCGCACTTGGTCGTTGTTTGGGGCTCCATGTACGCTGTCATGTCTGCCATGGAGCAGGCCACGGATGTAGAGGGTCCTACGGGGATTAGTTTGCGCCGTCCCTCGACGATAACTTGAAATGCAGTAGAGACCTGCCTAATTCGGCAGTCGCGCGGATCATGCCACTCTGGAGGGCTTCCGTGTTAGCTTTGGGGAAGGTATGCAGGATTTCTTGGGTTGCACATGGTTTTGGTTTAGGTTGCAGGTGTTCTTCCAGTTTTTGTTGTGAGAAAAAGGTTTCGAGGAAACCCGGATCTTTTGCACGCGGATTAGTTTTACATTGGGGCATTCAGCCTTACAGTCACCGTCCTTAATGGGGGTCTTCTTAAGGAGGGTTTATAACCTGGTTGTTAGCAGGGGATAAGGGATAAGTATAAGGGAATATAATCCGTATATAATCATGCCTATATAATATTATATAATATACCTCTTATTCCCTAGCCTAGGGCCTAAAGCCTAAACCCATTCATATGCGCGCAGTTCCTTATTTGTTCCCTACTTACCCGCAGTAAGCAAGGTTTAGGGCCGACTTGGAGGGTCATGGGGACGTAGTAACTGGGCTAATAATGGGGATAACTAGGGTTATTATATGGCTTTAAGCGTTATAAGTGTACCTACTAAGCCCCCCTGACCCCCCAAGCCGATGCGGTTTAGGGCTTAGGGCTTCAGGGGTTTGGGGTTTAGTGTGTAGGGTTTAGGGTTCAGGGTTTAGGATTTAGGGTTTAGGGTTTAGGGTTTAGGATTTAGGGTTTAGGGCCCGAGTGGTTGGTGTGGGAATACTAC